CGAAAACCAAATCGCGTTATTACAAGTTATGACTGATTTAGCCGTAACGTGTTCTTTTTTAATTTAAATCTTTATTGTGTTCAACAGAAAAAAGTTTTTTTTTTTTTTTTTTTTCCTTTTTTTTTTTTTTTTTTTTTATTTTTAAATTAACAAATAATTAACAAATGCGATTTAGACGAGCTTAAGGGAAAATTTTGTCTCTAAGCGAGTATGAAACTTCGATTAAGAATCTTTTACGATTAGATTATGTAATTATTAAATATTAATCAAGGAGAAAGAGTAAGAAGAAAAAATTAGTACGTATGGGGTAAAAAAAGAAAAAGGAAAAAAAAAAGATAAACGAAAAATAGACGTCGAAACACCAAATTTACAGAATAGCTTATCACCACTCAGGGAAATCGGTTTACTGCTCAAAATTCTATCGAGTTTTCTTTCAAGTACGTCGATCGCGTGGGGTTCTTTATTAAAATATGCAAAATCAATTTACATATTACAGATTATAAAAACATTTTCTAATATTACGATAATTTATACATTGATATTTCAATTAAAAAATTTTCTTTTTGTATTTTAAACCTGAATTATTTATGAATGAATATAACAGTCGTTTCTATTTAATTGTATTGTCTTTTAAAATATGCAGGATCGGCTACTTGATCGAAAGTTTGTTAGGATTTCTAAAATATAGAGTAAAAAAGAAAAAAGAAAATATTTGAATATGCTAAACGAGAGTAATAATTTCTGTAAAAAAAAAAAAGAAATAAAGAAAAAAAAAACACGTCATCGCGTTTGTACTAATGAAAAATATTTTATGCGTCAGTATGATAACTATTATATTGTATTAAATATGTAATTATATATACGCGGAGAAAAAAATATCCCCATTATAAAAAAATTTAACACTGAATAAAATGGAGAAAAGAATTGAAATTGAAAAAGACAAGAAAGAAAAAGACGAAAAACTTGACGAGGGTTGCGACGTACGTATATTACCAAAAAGAAAAACAAAAAAATGAAATTAATAAATACTTAAATATAAAAATAAAAAAGACAATGTGAGTAGGGTCAACTATGAGAGGAACAAAAAAAAAATCTACAGAGCACTGCGACGATATTTTTACATAGATGATGATGATGATGATTGCGATGATAATGATGATAATGATGATGATGATGATGATGATGATTACAGTGACGATAATTGATAATGACGATAGCGACGATGATGACCGTGCCAAATTTTTTGCTATCGAATTACCAAATTCCCTCAAAAAAACTTCTGATAGATTTTTTTTTTGGCGATGACAAGCGTGTAACACATGATAAGACAATTTTGTTCGATTTTTGCGATTACAATTTAACACAAAGGAAAATTAAAAARAAAAAAAAAAAAAACAAAAAAAAATAGGAAGAAGGAGAAGAAAATAATTACAAAAGTAACAACGCGATGTTACAATGTTCGTGTATATTAATGTTTAATATTAACAAAATGAGAAGTGTGTTAGTCTGCGAAGTTGTTTTAAATGAGTTCGACGTTTAGATTCTTTTTTTATCGCGTATTGTTATTATTATTAATATTATTATCATCATTATTATTATTATTATTATTATTATTATTATTATTATTATTATTATTATTATTATTATTATTATTATTATTA